ATGAGTGCCTCTGCGCTAATTGTGATGGCTTTAGAAAAATAGCTATGTGTCGTCAGGAAAGCAAAATCACTCGGTAAGATATGTGTTTTTCTTAATTTCTGTCATTTTCTGTCATAAGCATGTTTGTTGAATTCATGAGAGATGTTAGCTCCATGTGAAAGGTGAAACTCGAACTTATCTCACAGTTTGAAAACAGATCGCACAATTTCCAGATAAAACTCGCATTTTTCCGATTCAAATTTGCCTTGAGACGCTGTCCTATTAGACTGACTCTATACGACTTGCATAGTTATCCCTTTAGAAACAGCAGATTTCCGATCATATCGCTCGCTATTTAGATAAGCATCTAAGTGCGATTTACAATCGTTCTTTAAGAGCGATCGGTTGTATCGCGTTAAATTTTACCGTTGCATCATGTGGCAATTCAACCACGAAGTATTGTCAGGCATTCTTGCGAGTTCAGCGATTCTTCAGCTTTGTTGTCTCATGATCGACAATGAATAAATTATTGAGTTTTGATTAATTTTTACGGGTTGATGATGTAGGATTCTTCATTTGAAATCTTGATGTTTTCTTGAATCTGGTCAAGAAATATTAATCAGATTGATAATCTCAACTACGAATCCTCAAGAGATTTTCATACGACTTCAGCACGCATGCTATGATTTTTAAAATTTTTTAAATACGCAGTTACAACTCTTCACTGGTTTACGCCTCTCTATCTGATCACCAATATCACGTTCCTGCTTTCTTGACAGCCGTCTTTCCACATCGTTTCACAGCTAACAATAATAGCGCAGAGAATTATCCTTTTTTTTNTTTTTTTTAAAGAAATCCTAATTTCGATTTTGATTTGGCGATCATAGCGATGTAGAAGGGCTACTCTCCTACATTATGCGATGATGTCTGGGTAGAAAAGCTTGAAGTACACTCCGATGGATCGAGGGAACATGTTCGGAATCCAGTGATCTGCCGGAGTTGATGTTAACAACAATCGATAGCAATAAACTAACAGTTTTTCCGGATCGATTTCACTAGATATTGATTTCAATTAATATAATTAAATTGATGTATTGAGATCGGCAATTTATCCACCCCATAGCCAAAAAATAATGAATCTTCGTCGTCCTGAATAATTCAGCACAACCGACAGCAGTGCGGTGAATGGTCATAATAACAATCCGTATTTTTTCCAATCGCCCAAAGGATTGGCGAACGAACTGCTCAGCATCAGTCTAAGACGTAAAAACTGGTTGCTTGCTTTGATAACGTGGACTTGCTGATAAGATTGCTGCTATAATTTTTCAAATATAATTTGTGTCGACTGATTTTCATCGCATCTTTTTTGTTGTTGTGTCTGTGGCGACAGGTGCATAGGCGTTTCAGTGGAAATTTTCTTATCCAATTGAAGTATGTGTCAGCGTGGAACTTGTTGAGTTTGATTATAATCGTTGACAACGTCTCACATAAACGCAAATCTGTTCAGATGTATCATCCATCCTAAACGATCGTCCTGAATTTAGTTGAATTTAGTTATCGTTTCTTTTAGTTGGACTTTCAGGCGCTCTTCTTCAAGAGTTGCACGAAGGGTTTCAAGTAGATAATTTTCATCATATTCATAAATCGAAAATAAAAATAAAAAAAGAAAGAAACAAGACAAAATGGAAAGTGGAATACCGCAGTCAAGCATGAACACCGTAGATTCAAACACTCAGCATTCCACCGAATCAACATCAGCCGCCAATTCGTCATCTACATTAACAGGTTCGTTTCAACCAATCAACCGAATATATGGTTTGAATTTCTCGATGATTGCTCACTCACGATCATGTTCAAATATACCCTGAGCAAAGTGAAAGAAAATGTTTGGAAACCTCTAATTTGATTGATTTTAGCAGATGAAACGAACACCTTATCACAGACATTATCACGAACCTTCTCTCTTTCGGACGAACCAGAATCTACAGGTAATTCATGAAAATAGTACAGAGATTTCCATTTCCCTTCCATTAACATGCAATCTGCAAAGTATACAATATGCCTGTTTTTCATTCGTTCATTAAAGAAGAAAACCTGTCATTGTTCATGCTATCTGTATCAGAATTACTTATTCATTTCGACTTTAGGATCATGATTGATTGAACTTTAAAACAAAAAAATTCCAGATATCTGTCGTGTATGTCGAAGTGCGGGTGACAGCGCGCTTTACTATCCGTGCCTATGTACGGGTAGTATCAAATACGTGCATCAGGACTGTTTAATGGAGTGGTTGAAATATAGCAAGAAAGAAGTTTGTGAATTGTGTAGTCATAAGTACTCGTTTCAACCTATCTATCGAACCGACATGCCCACCACATTGCCCTTCACCGAAATCGTTCGAGGTTCGTTGCGAGCAAGCAGATTGCGGCTCACATTATTGTCTTTTTGATATCGTTCGCTGTCGAATATCGTGCAGTTTTACAGAGCATCTCCCTTCTCTTAATGATAGTGAATCTCTTCCTAATGATGGCGAATATCGTCTATAAATGTGCACAGCCAGTGACTTGACTATCGACTTTAGTTACGCCACTGGTTAGGTGTATTAACCATGGTACTACGAATAAATAAAGATATATGAAAAAACAAGAAAGAATGGGAAAAAATGTTGCAAGTCTACTGCAGTGGTGTTTGTTAGAGATGGTTTCAGAAGAGATGCGTTTAAAAATGAAAATCTTCAGGAATTTTGATAGATGTGGGTCGTATGTTACGTACATGGTCTGTATATACGTTGGTGTTAGTGGCGTGGGTAGGTTTCGTACCGTTGACCGCATGTCGTGTCTATCGGATGGTATTCTCAGCTAACGTCGCCAATCTTCTCGCTTTACCATTCCAGTTGTTTTCACTGGAAAATATTGTTACCGATTGTCTGAAGGTTGTGATGCGTTTCGTTTTCATTGTTTTTTCCATTTCATTTCGTTTTTTTTNTTTTTTTTGTGTATTCCACTTAGTGGTGAGTGATATTCGGAAGTGCGCAAGACAAAAAGTTGTTGAAATTTTGTAAGAAATAATTCTGGTTGATGATTGAGAATGTCAGTTTGGTGACAAATATCAAGTTCTTAGAAGAGATTTTCAGAAATTTTCCGAGGGAAAGAAATATTTTCATAGAGTAGAATTGCTTTCTCATTTTGGTCAACAATATGAGTGTAAGAAAAGCTTGTGCATTTATTAATAGAGTTGTTGAAAAATTCAGGGTTGTTTCTTAGTGGCAGTGTTTTTGTGTGCATTCATTTCGCTGATTTGGCTTCGCGAACAGATCCTACACGGAGGTCCACAAGACTGGTTGCTTTTGAACGGTGCGGGGCAGAACAACGATATCAACAATAACGATAATCAGGTATGATGCCAAGATTACGTAGATTGTGTGATGGATTTGAAATGCACTGTTTTGGATTATTCGTGATGTATAATTTTGATGAGTATATTTCAGCGCGATGCAGAAAATCGAGAGATTGGTGGACTGAGGTTGGTAAACGGTGGTGTAGGATTAGGGTTTGGTGGTGGTGGTGGCAGGGGGTTTGGGAGAGGTGGAGGGCGAGGAGGTGGGGGTGCACGGGCAATCCAGATATTTGGCGACGAACTGGAAGGTCAGGAGAGAGCCGAACTGGAAGGCAATGAAGGTGGTGAAGTGGAGGGTGAAGAGGTTGAGGGTGAAAATCGAGAGGGTGATCTGAGAGTGGTAAACGGTGGTGTAGGATTAGGGTTTGGCGGTGGCGAGGGGGTTGGAAGGGGTGGAGGGGGTGAGGGTGCACGAGTAATGCAGCTATTCGGCGACGAACTGGAGGGTCAGGAGAGAGCCGAAGTGGAAGGCGGTGAAGTGGAGGGTGAAGAGGTTGAGGGTGATAACTGGAGAGACTGGGATCGGGTCGGTGATGAGTTAACATGGCAGAGATTGTTGGGTTTAGATGGATCACTACAATTTCTGGAGCATGTCTTCTGGGTGATCGCTCTGAACACTCTATTCACTGTACTCTTTGGTTAGTTTTTGAAGTTTTCAATTTATGTTTCAACATTTCAAAATCACGTTGAAATCGGTGGCGAAATATAGAGTTTAGGTATGCGAAGAGGAGTTCACATGAGTGGTTCGTGCAGTCTTGCATAAATTGAACAGATGGCTAGAAATGGCTGATCTAGATGCTTCTAATTTGTAGCCATCGCTTGCGTTCGTAAATTATAAACCAAATTTGAGTTGATGATTTAATCACCACCAAAGTGACATTGTGTCGGATTAATCGATTGTTTCCTGGTCTAGAATTGAGTTGTTTTCAATTTGGATATGTTCATTTTTTGCAGCCTTTTCACCCTACCAACTCGGCTATTCCTTGCTGAAATCAATTGGATTAGCACCACGTATTCATTATTTCCCGACGTTGACATCAGTCGTAGTTGGTTACGTCCTCATATGCATCATTATGCGCGTTCTACATGTGGTCGCGAGAGTTTTCCATTTTGCATCGTTCGTTTTCCGTTTGATAATATTATTGTTATTTTTTATGGTGATGGTAATAACTAAGATCTCGGTCCTAGTCCTATTGTTCACTTCTTTGTCATTATCCATTTTATATTCAACCTTATTGATTTTCAATTTGAGGTGTCGTTTATCTAGTTATCCATTCGTATCACATCAGTTTGGTAGCGAATCTTTTTTTTTCGTGTTTATTTTTGCCAAAGAAGTTATTCGTAATGACTGGCCGTTGATACGGAATTACGTTTTAGAATGTATCGTCTATTGGGTATGTGCTATTTGGTTGTAAAGGTATTTTTATTGGTTCTGATCGAACTTGGTTTTTTCCCAATTATCTGTGGTTGGTGGTTGGACATCTGCTCGTTGGTTAGTTCATTGTTTGCTCTTTTTTGTTTGGGGAGTGAAAAATGTTTTTTTTTTGGAAAATTGTTTCAAAATTTAGACAAATTGTTTTTGTCATTCGATAATAAAGAATAGAAGAGTTTTGTTTGATTGAAAGAATTTACTCCGTAATTGGATTTCATAAACATTGAAATAATAGTAATAATAATCTATCGATGTGCTCCTCAAACCAAATGTGATGTACGTTAGTAGTAACTGATTGATCGTGATGTATTCTGTGAAGCATGATTGCGGATTGCATGATGAAGGCACTCGTTGTTGTCGTTGGGAATCGTCAACGAATGAGATAATAAAATTACAGCGATTATTTGCCTCTACACTGCCACGTCGTATTCAATCGTTCTCAAATTCACCAACTTCATCGCTCTTTTTACATTGGTTAATCGGAATGGTCTATGTCTTCTATTCGGCATCCTTCATACTTGTACTCCGTGAAGTGCTACGACCGGGTGTTCTTTGGTTTTTGCGCAATCTGAACGACCCAGAATTTAATCCCATCCAAGAGGTTGTTAGCCGCATCATCGAATTGCGTTTGAGATTTGGATTCTGACTAAATGCATCTTTTTTTTGTTTCGGTTCGATTAAGCATTGATTGAAGTGTGTTTACGGAATATTTTGAGTGAAATGAGCGCTTTCAGATGATCGATCTACCGGTAATGCGTCATTTACGTCGTATACTTGCATCCACATCACTGCTCTTCATGACAGTTCTGTTGACTGTTTATATACCACTGAGTTTCATCTCTAAGTTTTTACCATCCGTCTTACCGTTCAATCTGAGCCTTGCTGCTGAAACACCGTTGAGTGAATTGTCGTTGGAATTGTTGATTGTTCAGGTGTGTTGTGTGCAGATTTTTTTTGATTGTGCAGCGAACGATTGAAGTGTTCAGATTTGTTTGCGATGACTCTGGAAGTTGAGGAATTATTATGTTTTGTAGAACAATGTCAAATTTGAGTTGACGAAAGATCTGTTTGTTTACAGGAAAGTACAGAATTGCATGAAAAAGCTTTTGTTGATTTTATCTCTCTCTTGATCAGTTTTGTTGTGGTTATTGGTAACGTTGAAGAGGAGAATTGTTTTTAGGTAGTATTGCCGGCACTGTTGGAACAAACGCATGCTCGTACATTACTGAAGAGTGTCGTTCATGTGTGGTGCAAATTGATTGGTCGAATGCTGGATCTGGAACATTATCTGTTGCCTGAAGATGAGCTGAGAAATGAGTTGAATCGTAACGGACAACAAAACAACGAAAATAACGGTGTTCGGTTGCAACAGTTGAATAACTTGAACAATGAGAATAACAATAATAATAATCAAGCACTGCAAGGATTGGCAGCACAACATCAAGCGCTACTTCTCGTAAGGGAATCACCTGGATTTCAGGTTCGGTTTAGTTGACCTCTTGAAGAGGGGTTTTGGCTCTTTGAATATCGTAGCTTGAAGCAGATTCACGTTTTGAATATTGAATATTGGTTTGTCTCACCATCGATGTGTGGAGGATGTGCAAAATGAGTGTTTTAGGCGTATCAGAAACCGTCATATTTTCCAGTTCGTATAGTAGCGCTTTTAGTGGCTCTATCAACTACATCCATGTTGTCCAGTATCATCATCTATGTGGTACCAGGTCGGTGTTTTTCGACCAATTCTATTCGATCTTTCGAAGTGATAATGAGAAATTTTCGTTTCACTTCAACTGTGCATATTTCTATGTGGCAGCATTGATATTCTGGAAGCGATATTAGCAATTGTGTGATTTTTGATGAAATAATATTTGAGTGAGTGTTGGTCGTATGTTGGTGTATCATTTGTCGGGTCATCAAAACGTTCACGAGTTGTACACAGTGGCTGCCGGTCTGTACAGCTTATGGTTGCTACTCAAGTTGGTCATGATCGTCTATGAATATTTACCACGTGGCTCTGCCTTCTTAATATTGACAATTCGCAATACGATTTCCACAGTGCGTTTTTTCGTTTCTATTCTCGTTTGCTATTTTTTCTGTTAGTGTTGATTTTTGATTGTTTTTTTGCATTCGTAGATGGTAAGAGTGAAGATGATGATTATGATCAAACTGCTAAGCAAATAATCTTGCAGGTGATAAAGATGTGTACAATCGCATTGGCAATATTGTTTGTAATCCCGTTGCTGAGTGGAATCTGTTTCCAATTGGCCGTAATCAACCCGTTAAGAGTATTACCTCATCAGACACCTCTTCTGTTTCCGTGTCAACACTGGGCAATGGGCATATTGCACTGTAAAATATTCTGTGCGGCAGTTATGATGGGACCGGACTGGTGGATGAAACGTATCTTCGAACAGGTTTGAGAACGTTTTTGTGCTTGCAATTAGTTGATTTATTTGTTCATTATGCTCAGGTACACATATATTGATCAGTAGAGCTTTGCACAATCTGGAGTGAGGAGCATCATTCAGAAGTGTTATTCACTGAAGAATTGTCAAATTTTCAGAAAGTATAATTCATGATATCGTTGGAGAACTACCTTTATGTCACTTATAAAGTAGATATTGAATGAGAGATTGTGCATTCAATTTGATGTGATTTCAACTGAAGTGAATTGAATTTTGAGTTAAGATATTGAAACGGAGCAAAGAAAGCTTCGAAAATAGTTGTTAAAAATGGAATATCCATGGTATTTGAGTTTGTTGGTGATTAGAGAAGTGATCACCGAAGATATATTTTTCATTTTCTGCGAGTATTTTCCTGCNTTTGGTAATTTGCAGCTGTACGCGGATGGTATACGAGGAATACGTGTAGGTCATTTGTATACCGAGTTAATAGTTCCGGTAATAAGTGCGCTTGCGTTGTACTTGTCGACGCCATTTGTGTTGTGTGCAGCGTTGAGGTTATTCATCGAGATCAGCGAATCGGACAAAATTTTATTCATCCAGTATTGTTATCCATTTGTGTTGATCATCTTATCGTCGGTGTATTTCTTATATTATCAACTGCATAAAATCAATGCTCTGACTCAAAAGATCCGAAATGACAAGTGAGTTTTCACTCAGTTTGATTTGGTTTGATCAAATTTGAGCTTGTTTTTTTAAATCGTTTTCATTTTCAATTGATTCTTCTTTTTCATCAGTTTGCATTCCACTGAAGTATTTTTTGAAGTTCAATTCGACCTCGTTTCGTATTGTCTCGAATTGGATTATTCGGGAACAATTATTATGAATCATGGATATTTGTTTGTTTGTATTTTTCCTAAATGAGGCCAGTGACAAATATTTAAGCGAAAGTATTTGATAGAAAAATTATTTGTATTTTCAGATATTTAGTTGGAACGCAACTAGTCAACTATGAAGGCAGGAATAAAGCAGAAGGCAGCGATAACTGAAATAAAGTTTCGCGATATCGCCGTAAAATATTTCAGACTTGTGGTTCTTTCTTGAATTTCCAACAGATGTCTTGCTTTACTTATTGTTAGTGTTATCGTTTTTAGTGTTATGTGCATCAGCATTACGATTATTGGCATCTAACTGTGATTAATAATGTACTTCTTGATATCATTAATATCATATTGATAACATCGTTTTTGATGGTGTTATTGCGTTGCAGTCTATCATTAAATTGCTTGAAAATATTGTTTAGTTACATTTTGGTGTTTAGTTTAACTGAATGCGAACGGAAATGTGCTAAAATTATAGGGAATATTCCAAATAATAACAGTGCTAGTAGCCAGAAGGACAATAATGATCATATGAATGATAATAGTAATGATAATGACAAAATAAGAAATATAGTGTAAAGAGTCGTTTTATTTTCACAGTANTGATCTGTAAAATATGAATCAAATAATTGTAAAAACATCTTCATCGAAATGCATTGAAAAACAAAGAAAATGATTTCTGAGTGAGCGTTAATATTCTTTAAATTATAAATATTATATTGAATTTAGTGTCACGAATATAAATGTATTATATAGTATTGATGGAGATGTAAAAATGTAAATGCAAGACAGAAACATAACGTTGTGATCATTTGTGAAAAGCGTTTTTGATTTGTGAATATTACGAAACTAGAAAAGTTTTCAATTTGAGATCGTGTATAAATTGGTAGTGTTGTTATTGTTGTGCTATTGAAACGATTCGATATTGTAATGATACGAGTTGACATCTTAATTGTTAAGAAGATGATCGGAAAATAAGAGGTATTGATCGATTGATTGGTGATATGATAAGTTTGTTATCATATTATTTGAGTTGTTGTCGTCACCGTTGTTGTTGCGACTGTTGTGTTGAGCAATAAATGACTTTCATTTGACTCCATAGCGGTTTCTTATTGAATATCATTCGGTGCAGTTGTCGTCTCGTCTTTCCTTCATTCACTGTTGACGTGCCAATTGCTGACGGTAAATCGGCGCTGCATGCTTTGCGCATTGGTGTTTCGGTTGAGTTTTGGTCGTGATTGTAGGCGAAATCGTTGTTGAGCAATGCGATCACCTGTTCGATTTGTTCATTATTTATTTATTTACTTCGTTCGTTTGAGGTTTCGTTTATTTTTCGTTTGCTCATTCGTTTTGTTTTGTTCGTGTGTTTGTTCTTTGTGAAAATTCTATCCAATAATTTCATCGAACAAAGATTCATTTTATCGATCGACTTCTGAATGTTTTTGATTCGAATTCGAATCATCAACGTTTTTCAACTTTTTACGAACGGAATTTGTTGGTCAATTTGATTTCGTTTCCTAATATAATGAGGGAAAAAAGTTTTCGTTGTCGCTTTCTGAAAGAATCACTTCGCAGTTTTCATTTGGTATAATTCAGTTTGATTTCTTATTCGTTTTGCTCAAAAATGGTAGCAATAGAAATAAGAATTAAACTGGACTCATTGCGTTCTCAATGCAAGGGGTTTTTAGATCGCTAACAATGATTGAACTTATTTTTTTGGCAAAATTCAAAAATGAATGGCACGAACAGAAAGCAGTAGAAAAGTTTGCATGGATTACTATTACTATTATAATTGTCATTGTTATTACTATTGTTATTGTTATTGCGAGTGAATTTTCCAATAAGTGCATGAATTCTTCAGGATTTTTGTGTGAAATGAACAGATAAGTAAGATAAATGAATAACATCTGCACTGAAATTGTGCAAGTCACATATAAGAAATAGAATTGTAACAAACCTTATCGCCTGCATCGAGTAACTGAGGACACAACTTGAGTGGGCAATAGAGTTGTTCGAGGTTCCCGAATCGGTTTTCAATAATTCGCCGTATTTCATAGGCTTGTGGTGGTGGTAATATCAACTGTCCACTGTTGGCTCTATTGACAATCTCTTCAGCCGAGTACCAATCGATTTCATACAGTTCTTTTGATTTCGAGTCAATTTTTATCGCTTCCTTATCACTATTATCACTGACGTCAAGCGTGTAAAAGTACGTATCAAAGCGTTTCCCGTAATCGAACGGTGTCAACCAATTGCTGAATTTTTGCAGCGAATTCAAATCCAATCGAAAGTTTT